ATGATCCTAGGGTCCTGGGATCGAGCCCCGCATCGGGCTCCCTGCTCAGCGGGAAGCCTGCTTCTCCCTCTTCCACTCCCTCTGCTTGTGTTCCTTCTCTCGCTGTGTCTCTCTCTGTCAAATAAATAAATAAAATCTTTTTTTCTTTATTTGTCAGAGAGAGAGCAAGCACAAGCAGGGAGAGTGGCAGGCAGAGGGAGAAGCAGGCTCCCCGCTGAGCAGGGAGCCTGACGTGGGGCTTGATCTCAGGACCCTGGGATCATGACCTGTGCCGAAGGCAGACGCTTAACTGACTGAACCACCCAGGTGCCCCGTTCCTGGCATTTTTTAATTTTCTTCTCTTTTTTTTTAAGAATTTATTTTTATTTATTTGACAGAGAGACGGCGAGAGAGGGAACACAAGCAGGGGGAGTGAGAGAGGGAGAAGCAGGCCTCCCGCTGAGCAGGGAGCCTGATGCGGGGCTCGATCCCGGGACCCTGGGATCATGACCTGAGCCGAAGGCAGACGCTTAACGACTGAGCCACCCAGGCGCCCCACTTTTTAATTTTCATATAATAAATGTTAAGTTCAGCCTCCACCTTTTTATTTTGGAGAGATAACCACTTTCAGTAGGGTTTCCTTGGATTGCCCCATGTACATCCAATTAAATGTACGTGCGCGTAAAAACAAAGGGATCTCATTGAACGTATTTTTTTGCAACTTGATGTTTTTGATCAGCCTTATAACTTGCACAGCTTTCCATATTGGCTTGTATCTTTTTCATTCTCTTTCATGGCTACATAGTAATGTAATGTGGCTATATTCCATCTTTTTTAGCCAATTTTCCATTAATGTACACTTAGATCATTTCATAATGTATATTAGGGAGTTTTAGTCAACAGATAGGTAAGAGGTCTGAAAAGCCATTTTATAATCAGACTCTTGATACAGTTTTATCTGTTCTCACCATTTCTGGTATTACAGTACTAAAATAAACTAAAGGTAATGTCAAAAGCTACCCCAGTTCAGATTTTCAATTACAAAATAGTCTCTCATTTGGTCCACAAATATTTATTTGGTACTTACTATGTGCCAGGCACCAGTTTTCATGCCGTGGATAAGTGGAAAATAAGATAGTATTCTCACCTTTAAAGAATTTACCTTCTACCAGGAGGAGATCAATAGTACACCTGTGCTCTAATCCGTAAGTAAATTTCAGATATTGATAGGTCTTGTGGAGATAAAATAGGAACGTATTGTGAGTGATGGATTGCTTCTGGGGAAGACCTTGCTGAGATGATGACACTGGAGTTGAAATTTGAAAGATGAGAAGGAGGTGCACATCTGAGGATTTGGGGAGAACGATCCAAGCAGAAGGAAGGGCAGCTGCAAGGGTCATGAGATGGGAAGAGACATGTCACGTTTGAGGGACAGAAAGCAGGCCAGTATGGCTAGGGGTAATAAATGAAGGGGAACACAGGAGTAGAGGAGTGAGGGTTGGGTGGGTCTGATTATGAGGAAGCAGGCAAGGCCTTTGCATTCTACTCAAAGTATAATGGAAACATGAAGGGTTTTAACGGGAAGAGTGATATGACTTGGCTTAGACTTCAGAAGGAATGCTCTGGGTGCTGGGTGGAGGGCAGACTGCTGGGCAAGTGGGAGGAAGGAAGAATAGTTAGGAGGCTGGTGGTGACATTGACTGGTGCTCTAGTGATAGGGGTGGTGAGAGATTGAGCATAGGTATGTTTTGGAGGGAGGGAAGTCCAGGACTTCCAGATAAGCTCATCATGAAGGAGGAAGGAAAGAAGTTGAAGATGACGCCTAGGATTTTGATGTGAGCAGCTGGGTGGATTATGGTACCTTTTCCTGAGAAGGCTTGCAGACAGAACATAGTTTTTTTGTGAGGTGTGGGGATGGGGATCTGTAGTTCTGTTCTGTTTAGTCAGTAGTTGATGTCCTGGAGCTGATGCTCTGAAGCTCAGAGCTAAAGGTAATGACCTTAAAATCAGTTATCAGCATATATGTGGCCATTTGAAACCAGAAACAGGATGAGATCACCTTGGAGTGTGTAAGTGGAGAAGAGAAGAGGTCTGGTGGACAAGGAGGAGCCATTTAAGTGAAAGAAGATATGGGGGCTTGTGATCTCAGGGAAGCTGAGAGAAGATTGCTTCAAGAGAGAGTAGTCAGCAGTGTCCAAGTGCTGCTGAGAGAGAGGCTAAGGAAGAAGAGGACCAAGACTTGGCCATTGGCTTGAGGCAAACATAGGACATCATTGGTGACCTTGAGAGCAAAGGTGTTTTCATGTCATGGCAGAGGTAAAGTGGGTGGAGGAGAGGTAAGGGTCAGAGAGGAAAGAGTTTTGCTGTGAAGGATAATAGAAATAAGATGGGGACATTTTATGATATTAAGGTGTGTTTGTTTGCTACTGAGAATGATCCAGTATTAGGGGTGAAATTGATAAGGAAAGAGTAAAAGGGGCTAATTGTGGAGGGAAATACTTGAAAAGGTAGTGTGGGAAGGGGCCAAGGCCAAGTGAAGCGTTTAGCCTTAAGAAAGGAGCAGGGATGCGTCTTTCCCGGTGGCGGATGAAGGAGGGGAGTATGGGCACTGATACAGATAGGATCCTCTTTCCCCTGGGGGAGGATGGACAGTAAATAAACCATTGCAGTGTGCCAGATGGTACAAATAGAGCAGCAGGGTAAGGGAGAGAGGGAGCGCACTTAGGATGGGACAAGTTGCTGTTCTATATAAGATGCTGAGGGATACTCTCACTGGTAATGTGTCATTGAAGCAAGTAAGCCAGGTGGGTATCTGGGGAAAGAAGATCATTTCAGACCGAGAGAAGTAGATCTATCAGAACATAAGAGCTGTCTCATTCTTTGTAATGATGGTGTAGTATCCCATTGACTGCTGCACTATAGTTTTTTTAGCCAGTTCTTTGTTGATGGGCATTTAGATTATTCTAATCTTTTACTAATACAAACAATGCTTTGGTGATACATGATGTTTAATAGTTACATTGTATTCCATTTTATAGTTCTATTATTTATTAAAGTACTTAAGTTTTCTACCATTGTTGGGTGTTTAGTGTTTTTCCAACTTTATTATAAATCTGACATATAGTTGCATGTACCTTTTGCACATATCTGTTTGGGATAAATTCCTACATGTCGCATTGCTGAATCTAAGAATATTGCACATTTGCAAAGGATTTTGATCTACACCTGTTGTTAAATTGTGTTTCAGAAAGGTTGCTCAATTTTCATGTCGATATAAGTGCTGGTTTTCCTGTATCCTTGCCAACATTGGGTATTACCATTTTTTAAAATTTTGCTGATTTGATAGCCATGAATTTTTATCATTGTTTTAGTTTATATTTCCGTCACTAGTGACATGGAGCATTTTTGGTATATTTTGGTGGCCATTTGTCTTTCTTGTCAGTTGTCTAGTCTTGGCCTTTGAGCAAAAGGTGTGGAGGTGTGTGGTGTAGGGTATTTTTGTTTCTGATTTATAGTTATGATATTTTAAGGGTATTAACACTTCGTCACTGCAGAGTTGTTTTCCAGTTTGACATTTGCCTTTTATTTTTGCTTATGCTTTGGCCTTTGGGGGTTGGGTGGGTAGAGAGCATGTTTTAAAAATAGGTAGGCCTGGGGCACCTGGGTGGCTCAG